TTGTGGGAAAGTCTGGCAAGTGTTTGAGAAGCACGTGGATAACTCAGTCTTTATGGTCATGGAGGTATCACAGGATAGACCAGAAATACAGGGCAGAGGTGCAGATGTGGCCTACAGGTGAATAGAGCAGGGTCCTGGGACAATGGCTGGGCTGTATAAGGACTTTTGATACCATAGCCTCTGCATACACATTGCAGTGCATTTGGGAGGGGCCCTGGGCTCTGAGCCTTTGGGGCTGCCCTGGGTGATGGCATTCAGAGGCCAATGAGGCTTGGTGACCTGCCCCTCAAAAAGGAGCTGTAAGTGGAAGCCTGGGGAACCAGCCAGTGGTCATCAGGAATGACAGAGGGTGAGACTGGCATGCATATGTTTAGGTCTCAGAGGACAGTACCATCTCTGGGCTTGGTTGGGGGACACTGGCCAGGCAGGTTGAAGCCAAACACAGAAAAGTGCTGCTGCCAAGAAGACACCAAGGAGAGATGTGGCCCCTGAGGGCTTCTGGAAGAGCAAGAAGCTCTTCTGCAGATGGGTGCTTGCCAGGGACAGAGTTCCCTGGTCTCTCCTGTCCCTCCCTCACTTGCAGAGAAGGTGACCTGCATGTCCACACCAAATGACTGGCCTAGACCCCTGGGGAGAGGGTACTTATTGATCCAGTGCCTCAGGTGCAGAAGTTTAATCAGGCCCACTTCCGGCCAGCCTACCCTGCTGGCACTGCAGCTGTGCTGGCCTTCCCCCCAAATGGGGTCGTGTGGGAAAGTCCCAGGCTGTGGCTCTGACTGCTGCCCCACCCATACACATATTGCAGGTTTGGGCTGCTCTAGACATCAGGCCACAGGCTGTCTGGGGAGAAGAGACCATTTGCACAGTTTCCTGTGATTTTCCATGGCACCCAGCCCTGCACGAGTTTACTGAGCTGGGAGTATGTGCCTGTTCTGGGCAGGGCTGCCAGGACTGGTGTCCATATTCTCTCTTGTCCATCCTGGAACACCTCTGAGGGGAGCACTACTTGTAATCACACAGGTCAACAGGCACAAAGTAGGACTGTCTTGGGCAAATGGGGACATGTAGCCATTATGCATGGAGAAGATGGTTCAGCTGGGTATCGGCATGGAAGGCTGAGCGGCGGGGCGGGGGGGCGCCCTCTTATGAGGCGAGGAGGACTTCACATGTCCCCTCTCAGTTCTGGCACCAACAGCTCCCTTTGCTGCCTGGAATCACAACATCAGACAGATGGCATACAAGGCTCCTGTTTTGTGCCCCTCTATCAGTGTCAGGGGAACCTATGCTCTGAAATCCCTCCTCATGGGGAAAGTGGAGCAGCCAGAAATGTGGAGGACGATCCCCAGCACCTCTGGACTGCTCAGAATTCTAGGTACCCAGTGTCTGTGTCTCCAGGGGCCATTGCAACTCAGGACAGCTCTCTGGTCTGAGCCACAGTGTTTTGGCTTACAGATGGCAGGCAGTCCATGGCTCACTGTGCCAATGCCCCTCTGGGACTCAAGGACTTTGCTTAAGGCTCTTATTACCTCTGGACAGTTGGAGCTGTTCACCAGCTGCTGTCTCTGGTTCTGCTGGGCTTTGTGTGGGGAGGTGTGAGAGTGGTGCCCTCCTGGGTGCCTTTGAGGCCATGGACCGTGGCCCTTGCAGACACACACTGCTCTTTCCCAATTCCTCATCTCTGGCGGTTGCCCTATCTGGTGTGGCCACCAGGACCTGTGAGGAGGGAGGGCCACCTGTGCAGCTGTCCTGCCCCTTCCAGCTGCCTCTGCCCCTCCTTCCTCTGGTTCATTTGGAGCAGGTGCTCCCAAGGCTCTGTCCCTAGTCCCTCTCTTCTCTTCTCCCTCTATCCTTTTTCTGGGAGACTGCACCCCTTGCCCCTGACAGGATGCCATCTTTGTCCACTCTGTCCAAGTTCCCCACATCTTCCCTACCACTACACACGGGCACCTCCATATCAAGATATGCCAGCCTCTTGGAGGACACATTCCCCAAAGGGCTGCTGCTCAGAACATTCCCAGTTCCTTCAAAGCCACCCCCTCCCAGGCCTGGAGGAGTTAGGACCTCCTTCCCTTTCCCTTCCTACACAGCCACTCCTGATCCCATAGCGGCCTCTGCCCTTCCATTTGCCCTTCAAGGCATGCAGGCCAGATTGGAATATTCTGTTTCCTTGCTTGGTCTCTGTCCTGTTTGCTCATTAATGCCAACTCCACTCAGTTCAGCTCTCCCAGCTTCCCTGGGCCCTGAGGCATACATCCTAAGCATATAGCTTCACTTTGCATATGCATATATCCATGCCATGTTTGCCTGGGCAAGGGCCCCACGCTATGTGTAAGGGGTGTTAGAGGTGTAGGGATTGGAAAAGCGCTGTGAGTGCCAGCAAGGGGCAAGGTCACGGAAGTATAGGGATCATATCCTGTAAGAGTGGAGCATGTGATCTGGACCTTAAAAACAGAAGTAGCCTTTTGCAGTACTGACATTAACAGTGAAAAGTGGGAAAAACCAAACATTCATCAGGAGGCTGGATCAACGCACCATGGAATGCTCTCAGAGGTGCTGCTGTTAGAATGGCCCAGCATGCTATAAATAAATCTCAAGGATGTAATGTTGGGTGAAAAATGCAAACTGAAGGATGATATGCACAGCAGGTGCCACTGGTATAAATTCTAAGGACACATAAGGCAATGCTATATTTTGTTATGGATGCAGATGTTTGCAGTAAGAGTATGCACAGATACATGAAGGTGATGAATGGCAGCTTCACCCCTGGGAGGCAAGCGGAGAGGGGAAAGGGAGGAGGGCAGGGAGTTGCAGCTGCGTTCTGTTCCCGTGGAAGGGGCGAGAACATGAGATCTAAGGCAAATATGGTACAATGTTAACCTCTGTCAGGACGGGTGATTATAGGTTCATGGGGGCTTGTTAGATTATCGCCTCCTCAGTTGTGCATTACTTTGTAACTAAAATTTTAAAAGAAGTTAAAATAAAAAATAGAAAGGGAGACAGCTTTCTATACATAGGCTGAGCACCAGGCGCAGGGGAGGATGAGTGGCCACAGCCAGGCAAGGCCAGAGCAGCAGTATGAGGATGGAGCGTGGGGAGCTGCGACTCCTAGCTGGGTGGGCAGGTGTTAGGTGGGGGATGACAACTGCTTAATTGTTCCCCTCTCCAAGTGCGTTGTTTTCCGAACATTCCTCACTCTATTCCCACAGCAGCCTTTGCTGGGTGATTTCTAAGTGGGGGATTTGCTCATTCCTTACCAAGCTGGGTGCCAGTGTACCTGGCACCCACCGCGTACCACAGTCACATTCACACACGCAATTCACTGGATCTCCAGCTCAGCCTGATTAGCATCATCACTATTAGGTGATGAAAAAGGCACGGAGAACTGAAGGATTTTTTCCAAGCTTACACAGCCAGTAAGAGGCAGAGCTGTGATTTGAACCCAGCCTGTCTGGCAACAGAGCTTACTGCGACACTGTTGCTCCTCACACACAAGGTGCTGTTGTGGGGGCTGTGGCCTCAGGGATGACACAGCTGATGGGGCCTTGCCCTACTGAGACTCAGGGTCAGTGAAGGAGTCAAATACCAAACCCAGCGACACACACAGATGTCATTTCAACCGATGATCTAGCGAAGAAAGAGAGCTTTGTGCTCTCAGGGAAAGAACAGAGAGGACACAGCTGAGACTGACAGGTCTAAGGAGAGGGGACATTTAAGAAGAGACCTAAGGGATGGGGAGGAGGAAAGGTGGAGGTGGGAGAGGTCCAGATGAGGGAAGAGCAAGTGTAAAGGCCTAGAGACAGCCAAGGGCTTGGCAAAGAACCAGGAAGGGGCAGAAGGGGTGACAGGCACATGCAGTGACCAGGGCCAAGGCAGACAGATGTCCCAGTTCATGCCTGCCTAGGACCCAGTCCTAATGTAAATATGCATGGGTCTCATTTTGGTGCAGACAATAACAAATTTGAAGGCCGCCTTCACTGGGCTCTGTAGAGTTTGGATGCTGTTCCCAGGGCAGTGGGGAGGCACCGAGAGACTTGGGAGCAGTGTGGCACATCTAATTCATAATGTATAAAGGTTACCGCAGCGGTTGTGTGGGGACGGCCTGCGGGGAGCAGGAGGGAGGCCATTGTCTCTTCCCTGACTCAGGCTCACAAGATGGTAGGGCCATGGGGAGTGTGATTCAGGGCAAATGTCCCCAGAGAGCAATCCACTTCTCCACCTGTGCTTGTCCAGCCCCAGGTCTTGCTCTAGGGCTTCCGGGAGAGGCCTTAGGAGTGGGAAGAAGCCCCTGAGAGATGGGAAGAAGTCCCTGAGAACAGCTTTCCACCTCCTGGGACTGCAGGGCAATTTGTGAAGGAACCAGGAAAGGTCCGCAGAATGCAAATGGACTCCTAAAGAAGTCATGATTAACAATACTAACTGTTCGCTTGAAAATCTGCCTCTCCCTTTCCTCCAACACCCTCAGCTCCCTCCTTCCAGCCCCTCCAGAAGGAGATTCAGAAGCAAGGGCCCAGGGGCCTCTTACACATACCAACCCGGGGCCAATTTCCAACCGGAAGTGTCCTGCGGACAACAGGCAGCCAGCCCCTGGTGTCTGCTGATGTAAGTGGTGACTGGCCAGGCCTGCTGCTTAGTAATGCCCACATACTGGCTCAGCTCCTTGTACCTGCTTCTGGCAGGGGTTATATGTAGGGAGTCACAGACACTGCTAACCACATACTAGGGGCAGACGTCTGCACAGACTTCCACCAACACTTGGTAGTCAGAGCTGGGAACGTAAAAGAAGGCCAGGGTTTGTAATGGCAACTAAGAGGGAGACAGCAAAGTACCGTGTAAAACGAAACCCACAAGTAGGCAGCACCTCTCTTCTCCTTCCACAAAGTAAGAGCCTAGGCAAGTTGCTAAATCAGCTTCCCGCGGTCAAGTAAAGGGTTATCGTCTGCCAGGAAGGACAGCCACAGGCTGGAGAGGAAAGCCAGGGCCAAGCCGGAGGGGTCACTCACCGAGCGGCAGGACAAAGAAGAAGGGGAACCAGCAGAGCACGAAAACGCCCACCACGATGGCCAGCGTCTTGGCCGCCTTCTTCTCGCGGGAGAACTTGAGCAGGCGCACGGACAGCGAACTGCGGAAAGTGTGGCCCTTGGTGCTCCTCGTCCCGCTGCGCGCCCCATCGGCGCCAGTGGCTGCCCCGCGACAGTGGATCCGCAGCACCACCTCCGAGGCCTTGCCCCGCTCACGCTTGACGCCGGCCTCCAGGCTGCGTGTGGTGCTGCGTGCGACCACGTACACGCGGCAGTACATGACCACGATGACAGCCATGGGAAGGTAGAAGGAGCACACGGAGGAGAAGACGGCGTAGCCAGCCTCCTCCGTGATGCCGCAGAAGCGCTCGTCCGGGGGCACGGGCTCCTTCCAGCCCAGCAGCGGCCCTACCGACACCACGAGGGCCACGGCCCAGAGCAGCGCCAGGATGGCTGCTGCCTTGCGCTCCGTCATGATGGCCGGGTACTTGAGCGAGTGGCGCACGCCCACGTACCGGTCCACGGAGATGGTGCACAGGCTGAGGATGGAGGCCGTGCAGCACAGCACGTCCACGGCGGCCCACACGTCGCAGAAGGCCCGGCCGAAGGCCCAGAAACCCAGGACCTCCATGGTGGCTGAGAAGGGCAGCACGGTGGTGCTCAGCAGCAGGTCGGCCACGGCCAGGTTTACGATGAAATAGTTGGTGACCGTCTGCAGGTGGCGGTTGCAGGCCACCGAGAGGATGACCAGCAGGTTGCCCGCCACGGCGGTGAGGATGAAGGCGGCCAGAAAGACGCCCACGCCCACGCCCTGCGCGCTCACCACCAGCCCCCCGACGGCCGCCGTGCCGTTCACCTCGCCGCCCGCGCCCGCGCCCCCC